GTGTTGTTTTAACATTGAAAATGGGGAAAATAACAACATAGAATGATGTGTAGATATATAAAGGTTAGTTTAATGCAATAAAATAGATTTTTAAAAATTTGACATTCCAGCATATTTTGGTCATTTTCTCTGAAACATGATTTGCGACGAGTGACTGGTTTGGCTTGTCTTTGCCACATATACATTGATACAATAAAAATTATTCACAGACAATTTTATTCCTTGGTTTCAATAGAATCTCTCACTCTATAGGTGACAGTTGCCAGAAAGGTTGAACTTTGCCAATTTCATTGAAGACAAATCAGGTTGCATTGCTGGTCCTGACGCAATTGAGAAGGCACCCTGATTCGCCTACAACGGAATCGGCAAAAATTGAACCATGTTCAAACTTCCTGGCTGCCGTGGGGACTGCCGCCGATAGGGTGAGCTTAAGAACACAAATATTTTCTTACTTAGGACTTTCTCAACACATATAAATAATAACAGTGCTGGAATAGGAACATTGTATCAAGCATCATAGCTCACCAAAAAACAGTTCCTTTATTTCAGCCGTACGATCAAAGTGTCTGGTGGGATTCAAATCTGCTACCTCTCACTGTCAAGGTATCACACACATTAGAACAGAGACTTTGGATATAGGCATATATCTAACCCCCAGGCATTTTCTCTCACATAACTGACTGAAATATTTACACATAGTGGAGCTGTAGTTAAGCTAGGAAACGAGAAAAGCTTATATATATGCATTTTACCTTTCTGTTTTTTTGGCTGTTTCGCATTTTGGTTCACTTTAGTTTTAGATTTTGGTTGATGCTGCTGAGACTGCTGATTGTGAGATGCTTTCTGGCTTGATCTTGGCTGAGAAAATACAGGTTTCACACTGGCAGCTGAGTAAGGGCGGCGTGCCCTCTCAGGCAACACAGTAGGACTTTGTGATGTGTAAGGATGCCGTGGCCTTTCTGGCAACACGGTAGGATTTTGTGAAGAGTAAGGGCGCTGTGTCCTCCCTGTGTTCTCTCTAGACGGCAACACAGTAGGATTTTGTGAAGAGTAAGGGCGCTGTGTCCTCCCTGTGTCCTCTCTAGACGGCAACACGGTAGGATTTTGTGAAGAGTAAGGGCGTCGTGTCCTCTCTGGAATCCCGGTAGGACCTGGCACCTGACCGCTACCTTGAGGACCACTTTGATAAAATGTCTGCTGCTTTTTCTTAGTGACACCATCGCTAGTGGCCTCAGTACCAACACCTTTAACTTTTGATGAAGAGCTGACACTTTTACTTTTTTGCATCCAAGTTCGTAGCATGCCAACCAGCATCCAGTCATCATTAGCGTAGTCCGCAGGTGTCTTTCCATTGCAATCTTTCACATTTGGGTCGACATTTTGATTTAGAAGGAAGATCACAGCTTTTTCTCTCTGCTTCTTTTTCTGCTTTGCAGCAAGATGGAGAAGTGTAGAACCCTCACTGTCTATTTGGCTTCGTTCTTCTCTTGTCTTTGCATAATGTTGGAATAGGTACTTCAAGAAGTCAAAGTCAGCTTTGAAAAAAACATAAAGCATCATATACAAGACTATATGGGTGCACGTATGTTCTGGATCATATAAATCAAATCAAAATCAAATAAATCTTTATTGCAATCATAAAACAATAGTAGTGATTGGAATATACAAAATATAAAACAGTACAAGAAAAAAAGGCAATATTAATAAATATCAATAGAGAAAATAAAAGCATTGAGATAATTCAATTAATATATTATTATTATTATTATTATTATTATTATTTAATCTAATTATTAATTTAATCTATGAATTATTCTTAAAAATTACTCACTAATTATATTTTTAGTAACATCAAATATTGCACAAAAAAATACAGATAAAAATTGATTGAGAAAGACAAAAAGGGTTACACTAAAACATCAAAAATTACATTGTAAACATAAATAAGCTTAATTAAAAATACTATTAAAAAACATCAATATGACTTCAAAATTTGCTAAATTAAAAATACCATTAAAAACTTCAATAACGACATCAAAATTTGCTTAATTAAAAACCATTAAAGACATCAATAATGACATCAAAATTCCTAAATAATTACATTGAAAGCAATATAAAATAGAAATAAAAAAGCCACATTATTGGTGGGGGGGCGGGGGGACTAGCTCATATATATAAAGCATCATATACAAGACTATATGGGTGCACGTATGTTCTGGATCATATAGTAGAACAGCATAAGTAAACAAATGAAATACCAAGGTGATGTAAACGTATCACAAATATTTCGGTCGCACTGAGACCTTTCTAAATGTGTAGAAAGGTTGCAGGACTACACGTTGAGAAAGGTCGCAGGTACGACCGAAATATTTGTTATAAATATTTTTTTTTTTCTCTTTTGTGGGATCGTCCCACTTTTATTTCATCATAATGTCTTAACCTACATAGATATATTACACATAACATATAGTCTACATTTTAACAGTTATTATACATATTAAATAAATAATATATCTTTATGAAATTACTTAGTACACGTCTCTTTACTGTTCTACATAAGTGTTCAGATACACTAGGATTTCAATGATTACATCGATACAATGCTTAGCATGGATTACTACAGTAAAAACAGTTGTATCATATTGGCTACCATACTTATAAATAAATTACAACAGCTGTAATTTTAATACAAATGGAAAAATAGTTCCAAATGGCCGGGCGGTTAGCAGGGGCGCTGCTAGCTACGGCCATAATATCGGCGCTGGTTCAAACAGCACCCTCGCCTATGGTCCTGGTGGTAGAACAAGACTTCTCATATAAGGACTATAAACCGTAGGCCCAGTGTATACAATGGCTCGTGTGCACTATAAACAACCCAGTACACCCTTTGAGATGAGTAGGGGGATACCCCAGTGTACTGGAAAAGACAGCCCCTGTGGTGGACAACGAGAGTTGCTGGACAACGAGAGTTGCTGGTACCAGCTAGCACAAACACGAAAGGGACCCTTAGGGGTGATGAAAGTCATTGATCGAGTTCCTGGTCCACCCTGAGCATCTTATGTTATATGGATATGGTTCTATATAAAACTACACTGTTATTATTATTATTATTATTATTGTTATTATTATTATTATTTATTTATTTATTAATATTAATATTATTATTATTATTAGTAAAAATAATAGACTAGAATAATAGACCTCCTGTATTGGAAATCATTTATACAAATTTGTAAAAAAATATGATCAAATAAAGAAAACATACTTACCTATCTCCATGCCATGATTCAATGCAACATGGAGGGGTGTGTCTCCATTATTGATTGAGAGTCCCTTCCAATCTGCACCATGCCTGATAAGAGCAAGCATGAGATCCATTCCATATCGATTTCGATCTGAAGGTCCCATTGATCTAGACCAAATAAAATACACCAATATTCCAAATGATTAAAATAGCTAGTTCAAGAATATTAGCTACATTCTTCTAGGATTTTGCTTTTATTATATTTCATGGTGAAGTGCAGGGCTCGATAATTAAGTGAGGAGGAGCTATCATGCAAAATAAGGTGATTTTTAGCTAATCTTTTTTAAGGGGGAGGGGCTAACTTCTTTTGGATGTGGGGGGGGGGGTGTGCACACACACACCCATGATATATGCCACTGCTCACAGGTGAGAGTGCCAATCTCTCTATCTTATGGTGTTTCAGCCGGACTGTGTATTGCGACTGTAGGGGATCCCCACACTTCTCCCAAAATGAGTCTGTTAAACTGTTGAACAGCATATGCCATTAATCCTGTGAAGAGACAAACTTAATAACATCTTGCTTAAAGACATAAAGCCTACAATCTGGTATTGACCATGTATTTACCGATGCGTGCAAACACCGTATTTTTTTTAAGCTATACATTAATTACAGTATATTGTTTTACTGATTATTCTGATTTTATATTTTCTACCTTTTTTTCCCTTTTCATTAAATGAAATTAAATGGCTGCCGCATCAGAAGGGGCATCAAAACTCTTTAGAACACTCCAACGCAGGATGACTCGAGTCTGTGTTCCAAAACAAGGGAGGAAACTTACATATGCACACAACGTCTTGACATTATCGGTCTAATTTCAGTTGAAAAACGTTTTAAGCTCCTTAATATTTCTTTTATTGCGAAATGTCTTCATGGCTTTTATGATTTTAATATTTTTAATTACATAAAAATCAACTCTAGACACGGTGATCATCATAAATTTGTACATCAATATGCTCGAACAAATTCTCTGAAATATTCTGTGTTTCATTTGTTTCCACGTGCTTGGGAGGAACTACCGGTAGAAACTAGGGATTTATTGGTTTTGAATCTTAAAGCATTTTTAAACGATCTTAAATTATATTTTAAATAATTTTTACAATTTCTATATATATATTTATTGTTAAGGCAAATTTTACAGATTTTAAGTATTATTTCAATTGTTCATTTTATTATTATTTTATGTGTAATCGGAATGATACATGATAGTGATTTGGTTCACTTTTAGGAATCCGGTTTCGGCCCGTTTTAGATTTTTTATGCTTTTATTTTGTTGTATTGTAACCGGTTGTTGTTTTTTATGTATTTTATTGAGACAAAATAAATGAAAGGAATAAATGAAATGAAATGAAAAAAAACTTCTCTTGGGTTTAAATACTATAGATATTTCAATATGTTGTTATAGTTGTGTAGGTTAACTGTGTTTTTTAGGCATATCTGCCCATGATTTATAAACCATTTTGTAATATTTAAAAGCAAAAAATGAGAAAGCAATTAAAATATTATTGTTAAAAAAATAAGAATGATCTGAGAACTGTGAGATCGAAAAGAAAGAAAGAAAAAAAAAAACACCTTATGAGCGGTTTTAATTGTACAGGTGACGCATCACAATTCATTGCCATACCACTCACTCCTCTTCCTTCAGACATGGTCCTGCCTCCAAGAAACACAAAATGCAAAACCTATTTAATTCAAGACAAAAAAATAAAGTTAAGCATTGACCAAAGCAATCATTTACTGTCATTTCATTTCATTTTACTTTATTTATCCAGACAAGTTCATAAATCAAATATAATTATATCCTTAGCTATAATATAAAAATATAAGTTCAAAAAAGTAAAAAGTGAAAGAAAAATAAAAAATCATATCTTATACACAGATTTTGTACACACTAAAACGAATTTGATAAAATTACAACAAAGAATGATAATATATTTATATAAAATACTACTGTATGTAATTTTTAGTGGTTTTTGTGTCTACTGCCCCCAACGGCGGCGTAGACACTATGTCATGATGTAGCAATTAAAGATGGCGGAAAATGGTAAATCCGGTTTAGGCATGATGGGTGCTACTACCACGAGGCTTTATTGACAATCGAATTGACCATTGACCCTTCAAAATTTCGTCACTTCAAGATCTGAGGTCTAGTTTTTTTTTTGTGGATTGTGACCTTGGCCTTTGAACCTGACCATTCAACATTTCGCTTTTAGATTGTTGGTCATGGAACATTTTATCCAAGTTTGACGAATAGTTTATAAAAATTGTTGGCTGTATGCTGTTATATACAAAAAAAAGAGGTTTTTCGTTGATTGTTACCTTGACCTTTGACTGTGACCCTTCGAAATTTAGTCACTTTTAGACCTCTGGCCATGGATCACTGTGACCAAATATCTGATAAAAATTGTTGGCTGTAGGCTGTTATATATAAAAAGTAGTTTGTCGATTGTGACCTTGAACTTCGACCCTGACCCTTCAAAATTTAATCACCTCCAGATATTTGGTCAAGGAACATTGTGTCCAAGTTTGACGAGTTTCCGATAAAAACTGTGGACTGTAGGCTCTTCACAGACACACACACAGATAATAAATAAACAAACAAACAAACAGGGGGAAAAAATTACCTCCTCCAACTTTGTTGGCGGAGGTAATAAATAAGGCAACTATCATCACAAGCATGCAAAAGATTTGTAACTTCATTAATGGAATACTATGCAATTGAGTATAGTTCTATAAATCATTTTAAATTTTTTGTTGAAACACAAGAAGAGCAGAAATAAATGACCTTAAGTTTCACATTATATCACATCACAACTTCTTCTACAGTTTTTTTTTTACATATATAGCATTGGTACTAGTAGGCAATATAGTTGTGAATGCAATACTTAACACTTATTTACATACCTTAGTTTCCTTCTGTTTTGCTAACTGTAATACAACCTTGCTCCAGACATTCAGTGGCGCTCTGCATTTATAGTATAGTGCCTGCGTTTTTGGCCATACTGTAATAATTGAAGGATAAAATTGCTATGAAAAAATGGAAGTAATAGAATAGAAACTGCAAAATTTGATCACATAAGAAAGTAATAAAAAGTTGCAAACATCATTCCCAACATTTTTAGGACTGGTTTAATAAAACACTTCAGGTATTGAACCGTGCCCCACCCACCGATTGTCGACCAGTCGGTAGGATTTTTAGGATTGAGCAAGATGTACATTATCAAAATCCACTATGTACATTGTTTTGAAATAACATTTTCCACTATATTATGGGGAACAGGCGTGGGAGGGAGTCAATAACAGAACAATTCTTAATGCAAAAATATCACTGTGGGCAAGATACATTTTAAGATTTTCTTCAGTACAAGCCAATGGACATCATATTACTCCTTCTCTGATGAGGGCTACATGCAGAGAGATTATGATTTCATTGAACATTATCAATTGTTTGTACTTACCTTTCAAAGACAATGTTGCTATCTCTCTGATGAAATCAGCCTTGGTAACAAGTTCATTATCCCCTGTGATTTTGCTGTAACCATCAACTAATACTTGGACAGCCTGAATTTGTTCATTTTTCTCCTTTAGGGCACATGAAACTCTCCAGTATCCCTAAGTAAAAATAATGTTAAATTCATATCATGCTGCCACATCCATAAATAATAGTAAGTTAATAAAATAATAATAATAATAATAAATAACAACAACAATAATAATAATAATAATAATAATAATAATAATAATAATAATAATAATAATAATAATAACAACAACAACAACTAGCACTAACTCGGACCTAAGGGGAAAATCTATTGTATTATTTTTCCCCATAATGTCATGTTATTTTCCCCTTAACATTGTTTTTTTATTGTTATCTAATTTCTCCGTTAAAGTTCCACATAAGGTAGGTTTAGTATTAACATAATAATAATAATAATAATAATAATAATAATAATAATAATAATAATAATAATAATAATAATCTGCTGATTGTTAATGGCAGTCTGATCGGATCATCATTAAAAAGTAAATAAAGATCATAATTAAATTAATTTTTAATTTATAAAAAGTACATATGTTGTTGATGCCCTCTTCCTAGTGTTTTGCACTCTCATGACCAGCCTCTGCGAGGGCCAAGGTTCCTATGTGGGCATTTGTGAAATACTGCACTACTGTATTTGCGATGATGTAAACATGGCAACAAACTAAACCAGGGAGACATCAATGTGTTAATCCGGCAGTTTCATTTTTATTGTTAAGCACATCGATCGTGGCTTTAGCATAATGCGCTACTTAAGACAAAAAATTATTATAATTATAATAATAACTTGTTATTATTGTTATTATTATTATTTTATTATTAATCCTGGCATCAGGTTTTTTCGTTCTGCTTGTTTAGTACCAATGATAAAAAGGTGTAGTAGCTGTGGCGGCTGCAGGATATATTTTCTGAGGGCTGAGCTGTCCGACAGGGGGACTAGAGCTCGTAAGCCGAATCTTGTGGAAGATTTTGAGAGGGTTTTCCCATTCCAAATGAGATTATTTTAAGAATAGGAACCTCTGGATGGCCAGAAATGACACTCGGACTGTGACAGACATGTGTTGGCTTGGCATGGGCCTATTCTTACTGTTTTAGTACAACTGCCCGACGAGCTCTGTTTGATGGGGGGGGGGGCTTGACCTGTCCGGTGGGGGTCCTACATTAACTATGAGTCAGAGCCAACAATGGTTTCACAATACCGTACTGTACACACGTAATCTAGCTTCCGATAGAAGCTGCAAAAGGATTATCTTGTCAAGTATCAAGTTTTTTTTTATCAAACCACAACACAATTCATGCTGTGTCTGTAGAACCTTATCCAAACCACAGTATAAAATTAAAGTTTTTGGAGTGTAGATAAAGTTCTCTGTCCATACCATGGACCTATTAATAAGATCTTATAATAATAGGTCCATGTCCATACTACCCAGGAAAGTCCCTAGAGTCCAATCCAACTCATTTAAGACAGTTTAGTTGGACAACAAAAGTAAACAACAATCCGTAAGTGTTTTCCTCTTATCATACTGTACAGTTTACTAGTCTTTTCAAAAGTGGGTTTTTGTCTTCCATTAGTTATGGCTTTAATATTTGTCAAAATAGAAAATTATTAAATAGGGCACAACATCATATCTAGTTTTGCTTGTGTATGGACGTTCATAACGAACAGATATCTGGAAAGTCACTTTTGCTTGTTTACAAAAAACAGCGTATCATATGTGTCACATACATACACAGGAAGGGTATCGTAAAGGTTCCTTTGCTTGAAAGCATAGGAACCAAAAATGATTAAAAAATAGATTACTCTTATTTAGAGTTATATTTAGAGTTATTATAAAATAATCATTATTTAGTATACAATTATCATCCAATATTCATCTGGGTGTCATTATAGATCAGCAAGCTTTACTTTCATGATAGGAACAAACATTATAGGCATAATATAATTTACATAGGCATACATAATACATTACCTTTACCCACAGTGGATCCATACGTATACTTTGAATGCCATCTTCGAAAGCTAGGTCAATGCAGTGAAGTTTTAAATCTACTATCGACCTGTTGCAAAACACCTTAGCAATATCTCTCTCAGTGATTCCGCTGCTTATCAACTCCACCTGTTGCAGCGCTGATGAGTACGAATGAAAAGCAGCTTGGTAATTACCACTTTTCATTGCTACATTACCTTCCTCTTTGTAATCATGGAAACGTTGAAGAAAACCATAATCTATTAAGAAAAAAAATTTAAATAAAAAAAGCTTTGTTGTTGTGTAATAATTACTATATTTTCTCTAGTAGGCATCTTGTACAGGCATCTTGTTCCCTTTTTTGCCTACCAGACTCATTACGTTTTGAGTGAAATAAAATTATGGAATTATGAAATATTGTTGCTAAATGTTGCTTCCATAGAGTAGCACAGTCGTTTCGTCACGATGCCAGGTGGCTCTGTTGTCAACAGACGTAGGTTACCGTTCATTACGCCTGAATGACTGCATAGGCTTTCTGGAATAGGCATTTTAAAATCTAATATTTTACCATCAAAATGTACTAAAAACACAAAAGCTCACATTATATTAGGTATCGAACACATTTAATCATCAATTGAAATTTACAAAGAAAAAGTAAGATACAACATCTTAATAATTACATTAGAAATTGGGATCAATGGTTTGTTAGTGGGGAAAATGGCATCAGGTTGAACGCATTTTGCAACGATAGCAACGCAGTAGTATCATGTAGTACCGTGACGTAACACTGTAGTACTATATTGTTAATGCTGCTGGTGTTGTGGTGTTGCTGTTTATTATAATATTTGCAATTCGGCAAAGAAATACAAAATCAAAAGAGCCAACATGACATCAAGTGTGAAGCATCATCTATAATTGGATCAAACTCTAAGGAATTACATGCCACTAAACCTGGGTATCAAGTATGAATCTGTGATGTAATTCAAAAAGACAATAATAACAGAAATCAAATGAGGAGGTGCTTTAAGTGTTGGGTACCGTAATCACCAGAAGTCATGTGGCATTAGATTTTGGTGTCAAATAGCTATAATAAATGTGATCAGTATGAAGTCAGAATATCATCATAGAATCACATGCTTTGCTTTACTGTATGTTGCATTAGAGAGATTAAAAGAAGATTTGATTCTCAAAAAGCTTTCATCCCTGCTGCTACCAGGCAGTGAATCACTCAAAATTTCCTGGATGATGTGTTTTTGGTTTTTCCTGCAATAGCAGAAAAAGCTATTGTTTGTGTTCTGACTTGTTTCCACCTTCTGCTTTCATTCATTTTCCTATGTTTTTGCACAGGGTTTTGCTGTCTGGCACTTTGGTCGCTTTCCGTGCTTGGATGTTCTTCAAACATTGTCTTAACAAACTAGATACTGCTATGTTAACACAAAATTACTGTGAAAGGCATGAATAATCTCTACCCACAACTTACAAAAATAAACAGTAAAAATGAGAGAATGTACAAGAAATCTAAATTGAAAACATATTTTTGAGAGTAGTGCAAATATCACAGATTTATTTACATTTTTATCTATTTTATTTATCAATTTTAATTGATTTATTAATTGATTTAGTATTGTTATCATTATTATTATTAGTAAATTCATTTATTTATTTATTCTATTTTTTCTATATTTTTTTCCTATATTTATGCATTCTTAAACATTATTTTGTTGTCCACCTCTTCGTGGAATGTCTTTAGTTGTAAACAAATCGTTGATAACCACTTTTAAAAATGATATCAAAGAGCACTTTAAATCAAACCCCCTTTCTAGAGCACTTTAAATAATAATAGCTCTATATAATCCACTCTCGTCACTTCCAGTGTAGTCCCTGGTGGACGGTTTGGGAGTTTCAACTACAAGGTACAAGGTTGTGTGTTTCTTGTGTTTAAACATTTTTTCTGATGTGTTTTATATATTTAATAGATGGCCCCTGAACTTCAGCTGGCCTTCTTGGTCCAGTTGGAAGGGTTACCCTCTATAAAAGAAGTTTGAATAAAGAATTGGAATAAATAGTGCAAATTCAGTGAGCTCTATAGAGTTGGGTTCTTTAGAATAGGGAGCTTTTGATTTGTGCGACGACACGACGCTGGAACGGAATTACTCATGCGTGACCCTCCTACCTGGTGTCCTACAGTCCGTTCTCTGCATACATAGATTTGGCCAAATTGCGTTCCAGAATCTACTCGACGAGGTGACCTTAAAATTCTCGCATGCGCAGATGACTTTTAGTGACGTCATTACGTTCTACGTCCTACCGTCGTCGTGCAATCGAAAGCTCCCTACTAATGGAAGAACTATTAACATCACCTCTCACTATTACCACTACAGCCATAGTTTGAGTATCATTGATGTCAAATTAGTTTTAATGTGTTTTTTTCCTTTGGTAAAGGTTTTATTTTTTTTTCATGTAATTTTTATTTTATACACTTCAAATAATTCTTTTTTTTTTTTGTAATTTCAACATCACTTCTCCTTATTGCAATAAGGAAAATCCATATGCTCTGTTTTACAAACATACATATTAAGTCTAGTTTTATTTTTCTTCGCTTTGTAATTTAATAGTTTTTTTTCTTGTAATACTTTATAAACAAGCATCAATGCATGTAATTCCAATGTTGTATGGCAATAAATCAAACTTGACTTGACTTTAAAAAAGGCTAAAACTCTGGAGTTTTGAAATGGCCAAATACTTTTGGACCACTAACAATTTCATCCAATTTTGATATTCATAATTTATTATCATTTGAAGTAGGCCTAGTGATTTTTTTGTATATCAATCATATGAAATGTATTCATACATTTTTTTTTTTTTACATTTTAAAATATTAAATGTCACGTAAAACAAACTATTGGTGATATTATTGTTATTATTGCCCCTCTGAGCTACTTTTGTTTTCATTTTTTTGACGAATAAAGTTTTATCTTGACAGAAAAATCAACAAGTTGCATTTCCAAGAAGTGTCTCTCAACTCAACTAGTAGGAACCTTGATATCAAATTATTCATAAGGGTAAAATGCCAAACAAAACATGGAGAACTTGGCATAGCCTACTATCTATAGCATTGAATATTGAGTTCCTAAATTGAAATACCTGTATATATGTTAAAAATTTAAGCAAACACGATTTAAAATATAAATTAGAAAGAGAGAACAAAAATATTGACATTCAAGTTACTTATAGGTTTAGCCTAATATTTCATACTAGGGCTAAACATAGCTAGGTATAATTCCCTAGATAGGCCAAGGTGAGGTTTGGCTGAATGAAATGAGAGCCCTCAAAATGACGTCGAATGTATATATTACATACCGGACAGACGCAATGATCCACTCTACGTCTGAGTACATGACACTGTATGTAGCCAACCAAGAGAGGGCCTAACAATAACATATGTTATTAAATATTATATTTAAATTGTAATTTAATTACAAAAGGATATCGAATTCGTAGTTAAGTAAAACTTACTCATCATGTCATGTTGATAATGCATAGCCGGGGGACGCCCGGGAGGACGGTGGTCCTGGTTGTACCCACGGCTATATCCCCTCTTGCCGCTTGCCATATTTGCAAGACGCTGTTTCACCTGTTTTCTATCCTAAAGAGGCAGGCCTGGGCTCTGTTGTTTGGTAATGTTGGATTTTAAATCGTTGTTCGACATCACAGACACCACAACCCTTGTCAAACCACTGCAAATAAATGCAACATTAGTATGAGTAACAAAAGCCGTCTGAACATCAACTTCAAAATAAAAAAAAACAATGAAATAATGTAGATAAATGTCTACAGATATACGTTTTGAAATTGGGGAATTTCCCGAAACATTTGTTCGCGCACAAACGGTGCAGAAGATTCTATTTTCACATACAGGGGTGTTAATGAAATAAATAATGTTTCTTTAGCCCCGCCCACTTTCTAAACACACAAGGGAGGCACACACTATATTTTTGGCGTCTTTGCAGGGGCGGATTTAAGGGAAGGGGCATCATAGTTACCAACAGTTTCGCATCGTGAGGGACGGTCCCGCATTTTAAAGTGATTGTGAATGAAACACGCATTTTGGAGAAACGCATGCGTGATCAGAAATTTGTCACGCATTTAGCACAAGTCTATGCTTGATAACGAATTATATTAATGGGAAAATTTATTTAAAATTAGTAGAAATTGGTTTTATTAAAATATAAACAGGGTCTTGAGTCAGTAGAGAGCTTTCGTTATCTCGTTCGAGAATCAATTTACCGAGAATATTTCGCTTTCCCGACCAAAACAACCCAGTCAACCGTGCACTTAGTAGAAACTATTAGTCGAGTGCGGTCTTGCGCGTTCCGTTGATTATGTGACTGGAACCCGGTCCTCCAGGGTTTCGCCCCTGACTCGACCCCGGGCGACTGGTGTAGAGTCACGCATTTCAAATCTCTCAAGTTGGTAATGGCGGAATGGAACTCCCCACCTCCCCCACACACTTTTGGAAAGCAAAATTACAAATAAATAAAATAAAAGGGAGAAAAAAGAAAGAAAACCGTTCATATAACGTTCACGAACATTGCAGTTAGATATGTAACAAAATAACGTTCGCACAACGTTGTAAGAACATGAACTTTCAAACTTTGGGACGTTGGGAAATTAGGTTATATAAGTAGGCCTACGTACATATGGTTCTAAAAAATAACGTTTTTATCACCAAACTGTAACGTTATTATAACGTTCTTATAACGTAATATTGTTAGCTGAGTATTTTATGGCGCCTAGAACACCAAATTTACGCGAGGGCATGCCCCCGGACCCCTAGGGTAGTGATCTCCATTAGCCCCACTTTAGCCCCCCCCCTTTTCCACCCCCACCACCCTGTCTCTTATACACATCTAGATGTGTATAAGAGTCGAGGAAGATATGGCCTATAATTCATCATCAGCATCACATTTTTCTCAAAATTAATCTTATCTTTACATGTTATCTCATACTTCTTAAATTATAGTAAAAGGCACGCGGGCAGAGATACCGGTATCTTGTTATAACATGCTATAAGATAAGATGTAGGCCTAATCTGGCTGTATGCCCTCTAGTTAAAACATGGGTCAGCTATGCAGATCATTTCTTCTTGACTTCTGAAATCATATCGCGGTAGAAAAGGGGACCAACCTCTTAAAATATGTGGGGAGGGACATGTCACCCGTCCCCCGTGATCTACGTCCATGCGTTACGAATTGGAAGGTGACGATGGCGATGAAGAGGGATTGTTGTATTATTGATGTTGACATAGGTGCGTGTGGCATGGCCTGAATACTAATGCAAACTAAAGTGAAGTGAGTCCCAAGCTGGAAAGGGCCCCGTCAGGGTGCGGACTGATCCAGAATTTTTCAAACGTAGGGGGTAGGGGACACAACATACTCAGACAGTGGTGGCGCTACGGGGGGCACTGGGGAATTTCTCTCACCCCAGTTCCTCCTCCCCCTCCCCAAAGGGAGAAAAACCATCGGGAGAAAAAGATTTATTTTCTACATATTTTTAGACTATCTACCTATGAAATCGATTAAATAAGCCTCTGAAACCCCTTGACCACTTTAGAGACATATTTTCCCCTAAAATTGTACCTTTCCCCTCACTTCCCCTCCCCCCCCCAAGATTTCAGACTCTGGCGCCGTCACCGTACTCAGAAGATAAGTGAGTAGTGTTAATTAGTGATAATAAGCATTTAAATTTAAAATTTAGTGGCGAAACGGGGTAGAGGAAATTTCCCCATCCCCTACGGGATCCGCCCCTGATAACAATTAAAAAAAGCGGTCTTTAGAAAGGCAAGGATCCACGGTTCTGATGTTGTGGAAGACCAATTTAAAATAGTTTTTAAACAATTTCCTTTCCCCTCCGTACCCCCAGTTCCCCACACACAAAAAAGGAAGAAAAACCATCGGGGAGAAAAATGTTATAGGCATATTTTCTACATATTAGTAGACTATCTACCTATAAAATCGATTAAGTAAGCCTCTGAAACCCCTAAATTGTCATATTTTTCGGGGACTTCGCCCCTGGACCACTTTCGGGACATTTTGAACGACGACCGACCACGGCCACCTAGGGCGGGTTAATTAAAATATTTAGTGGCGAAACGGGAAGGGGAACTTCCCCCGTGCCCCTGAGTCCGCCCCTAAAAACCATTAAAAAAGGGATGAATTCGGTCTTCAGGAAGGCAAGGATCCATACCACGGTTCTGATTTTGTGGAAGACAAATTTAAAATAGTTTTTACCCTTTTTAATACTCGGTACCGTAGTACGTCCCCAGCAGAACAAGCAATTTAAATTACGAGCTCAAGTTACACAACCGATTACCTGTGGAACCAGAAATTTACAGTGCCGATTGAGATTCAGGCATGCGTCTTAAACTCCTCCCAGGGAGGTCGGCTGTACCCACCAAAACCAGAACCAGGGACTAACGCCCCCACCCCCGGAAATCATGTAAAACAGTTTGATTGTAATGTATTTTTAAATTATATATGTAATATCTCCCAATTTTTCTCACTTTAACGTTGATGAAGATAGCAGGAGCTATCGAAATATCCGTTTGATTTTGTTATACAGTAGCTTAATAAATTTGT